GAAACTAGTAGGCGTAGTTGTGTGTGTGGTGGGGGCGGGGGGGGAGGAGCAAGGAAACCTGGGGACTTGGGGGAGGGAGAGGGGGAGGAGAGTAGCATAAACAACAACAACAACAGCTACCCAGTAAAATCCCACCAGGTGGGGTCTGGGGAGGGTAATGTGTACGCAGACCTTAACCCTACCCGATAGGGCAGAGAGGCTGTTTCTGATAGACCCTCAGCTCAGAGAAAAAGAAAACAAGAAAAGAAAAGATAACTCATTAGTAACTCCAGTAGCAACCGTAATAGTAATGAAAGCATAACAACCAAGAGATGAAAGACGAGAGTAGCATAAACAAAATACTAGAAAATATTTTTCGGAAAAAGTTCTCCACTCACCAACCAAACAAGAAAAAATAAGTGGTAAAACCACTCATTTTCCGTGCGGAAAATATTTTCCATCGTACCAAACACACCCTTAAGGAAAACTTTATAAAATTATTTCGAACAAGATACCCTACTAGCATATTCATTCTTTTTTTTATTATATTATATTATATATGACAGATCGAAGATGATGTCATCCACTCTTTACCTGTCTTGTTACTTTTATACTGATTTTGTTAGGCAGTAGACTAGTCTGATTGGATTTCAGAAATTGTCTCCATGCCCAAGAGAGATGGACGTGTTTGCGTATGCATCTAAAAAGTCGAATGAGAATGCTGTCAAAAAATTAGCCTCAGTTCCTTGTGCCCTTTTTCTCGTTTGTCTTTTCACCTCTCATTAACCCTCACTCTGATACTTAAATTATTTAACAAATCACAAGAATTGCATATAAAATGCGAAAAGATGACGAGCTATAGATTCTAACATAAATTTATCTTTTTTCTCGTCTTTCCTATTTTGTTCTTTGAAAAAATGAACTATCCATCTCGCCATTAAATTGGCAATTCGATAAGTCAACCAAAAATTTTCCATATAATGAAAACAAATTACATGCGCATCATGACGGATTTAGAATTTCAACTTGATGGATTCGACCTTTGAGATTTTTAGCACTGAATAAATTCGTTGTATATTAAAAAATAATGGATCTATTTTATAGTGGTTGAAACGTCTATGGTGTTTCACATAAAAAAATTATCGAAAATACTGGATTTGAATGAATCTAGAGTCAGAAGAACTAGATTCGCCCCTATGACTGTGCAAAATTCCCAAAGTAGTGTGCTCCAAAAGGAAAAAAGACATGTTAACATGATGTCTCTTCGTTACCGTGTTATGACTGCTGTTGGGGCATGATGTCATGCCCCAACGTGCAATCTCTTGTTTTTACGTATACTAGTCTTAGGGTACGCGCATTGCGCGTGTACCTATATTACGATCAAAATATTTATAAAAATCACATAAATATTATTAAAAATATCTTGATATAGAAATTAACTAAAGGCAATAGTTAACTTCCTAAAATTATGAATGTTACTTAGTTTAACTAATTCTATAAGAAAAGAAACGTCACCTCACAAAGTCCTGATATCTTATTGATTTCGATATATGGGTTTTGTATTTAGTTTAAAAGCTTACAATAAGCACAATATGTTAATTTGTATTAGCATAACTCACAACAGTATGTAAGTAAGTCTATAATCTCTAAACTTCTTTATAGGAAACAACTTAAAAGATTAAGCTGAATGTAACATGCTTGTATTATTCTATAAAAAATGAACAACAAAGAGGATATCACAATTATATAAGGACCATGAATATACTATAGTTTTATCTATATCATTATTAAATAATTTTATAATTTTGTATGTATAATATTTTGAAGAAATAGTACATCATTGAAGGGTAATATGATCTATCAACATTACAAAAAGATATGTTCATCCATAAATAGTTGCTTGTGTTATAATATTTTTGCTTTTGGAGACAAAGACACATTAACTATAATTTTATAAAGAAGCAAGGATGGTTCGTTTCTTACATTGAACTATATGAAATTGGCACTTTCCCAAAAAAAAAAAAATTAAATTATGTGTTCAATATAAAAACATAACATTCTTAAAAATCAAAATGTTAGGAGTAATTAAAAAGGTAAATAAACAATAGTTTTTGTTTGATAAGTATCAAAGTTGCCGAAAATTTGGAATTGCAAATAATTGATTCCTTCTTGAAAAGATTCTTTTCTCCTTTATTTAACCTAGATTTTAGAAATTAAAGGCAATTTGATTCCTTCTTGAAAACTATTTTTCTCATTTATTTATGGTAGGAATTTTAGGGTATCATTTTACCTTTTATTATTTATAATTTGTGAATATTCTATTTTTCTTTTAACCGTGTAAATCAAAGTGTATTTCATAATTTATTTTACATTTCTTTTTTATAAAAATTTGGAATTGCTAAATACTCTAAAGAAAACTATGTTCCTTTCTAAAAAGACAATTTTCTTTTTATTTACATTTAGGACACTTTTTTTTCTAAAAAAATATTTCAAAGAAATCAAATTAATAAAAAAATTTGTTAGAGGCCAATGGCTACCGCTTGGTTGTTTGAAACGGACATATTTCAAAGGCAAAAGTAGATACAGTTTCTTTATCGTGCATTTTGAAGGAATTATAATTTAATTCACATTTGTTTTTTCCCTTAAATTTAGGAGTACGTTTTTAATGGGAAAAAGGATCTAGAAAAGTCAAAGTTGTTTATTTATAGAAAATTTTTGTTTGATTTTACAATCGTACATATTAAGAGAATAATTAAATTACAACTTTGTCTAATATAAAAACTTCTTTTAAAGGGACGAACAACATTTCACTAAGGGCCTTCGTGCTTTTAATATAATATAGATTACTTTCAAGTTTGGTAATAAAAGTTTTTATTTACCAAAACAAAAACATGTTAACATGTCAACACATTCCATTATTCCGGGAGGTTTTTTGGTAGGCCGGTGAAAGAGTTAAGTTTATGGAGACAAACAATATTAGACAAAGTAGTAGACAATATATAAGAAGCAAAGTAAAATTCTGAAGAGCTTAAATTTAAAAAGTTTCTTAATACAATGACCCGAATCAATACAGATCTCAATGATCTTAATTAGATATCAAATGCAAAACATAAAATATAATAAATAATACATGTACTTTAGGGCTGAGGTAGAACAATAATGGGAGACGCTCCAAACAAGAGTATGCTAAGAAGTTGAAAGCAAGGAAATGATAGTAGCTATTTTGGAGGCGAATGACTTGAATATTAGTAGTAGGTCGGTGGAGGTGACGGTGATGGAGGTGGAGGTGAACTGTAGGTGGGAGATTGCTCGTACTTTTCAGGTGGGGGAGGTGAGGCATAGGTAGGAGTTTGCTTATTGTAATTTGTCGATGGTGGTGGTGGTGATTTGTAATATGATGGTAATTGTTCGTAGATTTTTGGTAGAGGTGGTGCACTGTAAGTTGTAGGTAATTGCTCGTAATATTTTGGTGGTGGAGGCGGAGACTTGTATGAAGGTGACTGTTTATAATATTTTGGTGGAGGTGGGTGAGATTTGTAAGAAGACGATGACTGCTCGTAGTATTTCGGTGGGGGTGGAGATGATTTATAATAGGAAGGTGAATGTTCATAGTATTTCGGAGGGGGTGGAGGTGACTTGTAATAAGAAGGCGATTTCTCGTAATACTTTGGTGGTGGCGGAGACTTGTAGTAAACTGGTGACTTGTAATATTTTGTTGGTGTTTGTGGCTTGTTGTATTTCACACGAGCAGGTGACTTGTAATATTTTGTTGGTGATGGTGACTTGTAGTAATAGTGCTTTGAAGGAGCAGGTGACTTGTAATACTTAATCGGTAATGGTGACTTGTAGTTGTGCTTTGAAGGAGCTGGCGATTTGTAATATTTTGTTGGTGTTGGTGCTTTGTAATAATCATGTTTCAAAGGTAGAGGTGATTTGTAATATTTTGTAGGTTTTGGTGCTTTGTAATAATCATGCTTCAAAGGTAGCGGTGATTTGTAATATTTTGTAGGTTTTGGTGCATCGTAATAATCATGCTTCAAAGGTAGAGGTGATTTGTAAACATTTGGTGAATGGCTATGGTACTTTGATGGCGACGGCGACTTGTAATAGTGTGAAGGATAATGTTTGTAAGAGACCGTTACCTGAGCATGGTACTTTGAAGGCGAAGGTAATTTGTAGTACTTGGAGGGTGAGGGAGAAGTGTAGCCATAAGAGTAATCAGCAACAACAGTAGTTGCTACAAAGCAAATTGCCAAAGCAAATGCAAGTAGGGGCCATTGCCCCAGATTTCCAAAGCTTCTCATTTTGATTTTGCAGGCAACTATAATTGGAGAAGGGAAGGTAAGAACTAAGACTTGTCTTGTATAGTTAAGGACCTTTGCTTTTATATAGCAACATGACAACTTTCTTAAATATTTGTGTAATGGCTTTATGGCTGCCCACAAAGTTAATAAAAAAGTCCAAATAATTAATCATTTGCTAATTTGTGAGTTGTATACAAAGTTATGGTATACCACAAAGTTTGATTTTATCCTTTGTCAAGAAAGAAGATGGTCGTGCTTTTTTTTCTTTTATAACTTTAGTTGAAAAGTATAACTGTGCCTATGTGAGCAAGCTCACATTGCTGGTCCCAAACTAGGATAAAGAAGAAGGATTGAGGTTAGTTGTTAGCATAAAATTAGTCAATCTAATATGAATCTTCACGATACCGATTGCGGCATGATCAATGAGGATTTATATAACTGACTCTGACTTATTTGAATTTGAAGAGTTCTTGCTGTTGTTTTGGTTAAACAGGAGCCGAGTAATCCTCCCCCCCCCCCCCCCCCCTTTTTTTTTTATTTTTTTTATATCCACTATAAGGGATCAAAAAGGCTAGGGTATTGTTTCGCTTCGACTGGTAAGTTCTCTCATGTTAAAGTTTAATATTTTTAGATATCTAGTAGATTTTTTAATACATATATAGGATTCGGAGGAAATCTAGTGGGTTTAGGTGACCTCTTATATTACGAGCTAGATCTGCCTTGCTCGAAAACAAACACAATGAATTTTTTTCGATTTTAACCTTGAATAATATTTATTCACCTTCAACCAAATGTTGTCCAAAGGAATAAGAGAAAAATGTAGCAACTTGTATTTCATTTAATTAAAATAGGTATTATAATTTATATTTTTTTTTAAATTAATGAATTTCTTCGTTATTTGATAAATTTTCATACACCTCCTTGATTTATGCATGCCTATGGTAGATCAACAATTTTTCAGTTAGAGTCTAGATTGTCACACCTTTTTGTTTGTTTTTGAGCCGTTTGTTTGTGCGAGGCCTATTAAAGCCACTATGTACTACAAACCAGTGTAAGCACGTAATTTTTTACCCGCGCAATATTTGAAAGTAATATTTTAAAAATATTTATTTATTTTCAATAGGATTTCAGTCAACTTTTAATTTTAATTTTAAAACATAAGTTTAAAAACACAAAAATAGTTTTATAATATTTCTTCTCTTATTATATATCTTTTTTATTTATCTTTTTTATTTATTTAAACTTATTAGTATTTTATAATGATAATATTTTAATTTTTATCATTACTTTAACATAGTTTTCTCTACCTTTTATAACATTTAAAAAATACCAAAAATATTTTCATTTTAATATATAGTTCACTTTTATTGTTTACTCTTATTAACTAAGATTAATTAGTATATTTTGATAGTATTTTTATTTTTATTTTTGTTCAATAAGAAAGAATTAAATTTGGGCCAATTGAGAGCTCATTTTTGGATCTTAGTGGCGACAAATATATATTCTTCCCAATTCTTTTTAGCCCGTCAAATCCCTCCTTTAATTATAGCACCCCAAGCAAAAAGAATCAGCCACACACCGTTTCTTGGAGCTTATCAATTCCTTGATAAATCTTTTCATTGCCTTTTTACCTCTTCCTCCACTAACTTTACCAGAAAGTGCATCACTATGACTTTGGGTTTTAGCAAAGTTTGCATCTCTTTTCTTTCTTGATTTGGAAGTCCAAAACTCGATTGGGGTTCAACAAGAAGAGGACCCCTCATCCATGGAGCAGTAGGGCCTTTGATTCCTGAACTTGAATGTGAAATGGGCCCATAATCTTGATTTTTAAATTCAAGATTGTATAGTTCCACGTTTTTGGTAGGATGATTATTATAATTGGATTTGGAGGAAAAGGGAGTAAGTTTAGAATTGAATGATTTGAAACAAGGAATTCGTTTGGAGTTGATAATAAAATTGGAATGGCGATAAAAGAGGATATTCGAATTCGGAGCTAGAAATAAAGTAGACATGGATATATTGATAAGAAGTTGCCGATTCGAGGTTCCGGTTCGTAATTTCGGTGTTTCAATCCAACGATTGTTGTTTTGTTATTCCGATTGAGTTGCAAATTTTCAACTTTATTCATCAATATAAAGGTCATTCCTATCCATTTTTCTCAGTATTTGTTTACATTTTAAGTATACACTTGCTTTGATATATTAGTGTTTCTATTTGCTCATGATGGATTCTATTTGCTCTATGGAAAATACTTGATCTCTCTCGTATTAATCGTGTACTGATTGCGTATTATTTGGGTTATATATTGGTTTTAAAGATTTATTCGTTTGAATACATGCAAGTTTGGTTGGACGACTTCTGTTAAATATGCTATGGACTTTGATTTAGTTTTCTTTACTTATATGGTTATGTTACGTGACCTTTGTTTTAGCATGTTGAAGTGGTGATTTAAGTGAGTTATTAAATTGGATAGATGAAAAAATTGGAGTTGTTTTTTTCTTGGCAAGGAATAAGAATAGGCCGTGAGTGGTGTTAAGTTAGAAGAATGTATAACTCTTAAGCCTCACGATAATCCGAAACTTAGTAAAACAATTATGAACATTGTAGCTTGCCATAGGCGCGTTAATTAAATAAATCATCGTGACTATGGGTACGGTTCCCGTGGCATAGTCACGATACATAAATCCCAATTCGAGTGCGCGTTTCACGCGACTCGACCACAATTTCGAATAATAATAAAATAGCATGTTGTAGATCGCGGGTGCGTTTCACGTGACGCGATTCGCAATGTGTACAAAAACAATAAGTGCGCGATATCGCGGCTTATTTAATTAAACTCCATAAATTCTAAAAGCAATTAAAACTCTATTAAAAGCGATTAGAAAGTTAAAAATGCACAATAGGTTTTAAACCTATAATAAATCAGATAATTAGGCCAATTATTAATAGTTGAGCGACCGTGCTAAAACGGAATACGGGAGTGCCTCACACCTTCTTCCGGATTAACAAAATTCCTTACCCTGTCTTTTGATTTTCGCTGATTAAAACAGAGTCAAATTTTCTCGAATTGGGATTTAAAATAAACCGGTGACTTGGGACACCATAAATTATTCCAAGTGGCGACTCTGAATTAAATAAATAATCTCATTTCGATTAATGTCACTTTAATTGGAAAAATTCTCTATCCCCTTCGGAAAAAGGAGGTGTGACAACCGGGTGGCTCACTTCTACCGACAACTCGACGTCAATGTCACCTGCAAGATAAGGCTAGAATTGTTTGAATTAGATTTATAATTAATACTGCAAAGTTCTTGCTTTTGAGTCCAAAAAAGAATCATTTAGCCAGGGTGATCAGACCCCTTCGACGCTTTTTTGGTTGAAAGATGGCATTCAGATCAAAATATTATTTTCTTTTTGTCTGAAACCTTGGCATATATCCAAACTGTACTCCTCCCGTGGAGAGCTAAAGAAAAAGAAAAAACAAAAAGATAATTTTTGTTTTTTAACACTTTGGGAAATGGAAGCTGAACTTCCCTTTGGTTCTCCCCGAATATATATACGCTCTTCCTTTTTTGAGCCCATTTTAAGGAACTCGAAAAAAAATTAGAAATTCAAAAAGAAAAATTTTATAACTCTAAAAGTTTTAAAAGAAAAAATAAAATTATTTCGAAAAGTTTCAAAAGAAACCAAAAAATGGCTTATCAAAAGTAGTCTATTTATAAAAAATGAAAAAAGAACTTTCAAAAGTAAATCCAATTGTATTATTTAGATTCAAAGAAATAGGTGAATCGAGTGAAACGAAAAAAGAAAAAGATTCTCTAATTAGTAATCAGATAATTAACGCCTATCTGCCTGATGTTTTACTCCTCCGAAAGGCTAGTGACACGAGTTCTAATTCGAGACTTCTCTTAAGGGAAAACCTTGTAAACTTATTTAGAGTACGATCCTCTACTAGCATATTCATTCTTTTTCCTTATTCTATTATATATTATATATGACATTTCGAAGATGATGTCATCCACTCTTTACCTGTCTTGTTACTTTTATACTGATTTTGTTAGGCAGTAGACTAGTCTGATTGGATTTCAGAAATTGTCTCCATGCCCAAGAGAGATGGACGTGTTTGCGTATGCATCTAAAAAGTCGAATGAGAATGCTGTCAAAAAATTAGCCTCAGTTCCTTGTGCCCTTTTTCTCGTTTGTCTTTTCACCTCTCATTAACCCTCACTCTGATACTTAAATTATTTAACAAATCACAAGAATTGCATATAAAATGCGAAAAGATGACGAGCTATAGATTCTAACATAAGGCTGTACGTGGTCCCGGGCCCGGGCCTAAATGGGCTAAACGGGCCGGGCTAAACGGGTCTGGGCTTAGCGGTCCCGGGCTCTGGCGGTCCCGGGCTTCGCGGTCCCGGGCTTCGTGGGCTCAACGGGTAGGACCAGCCCGTGACGGGCCTAAGCCCATATGGTCCTGGGCTAAATGGGCCGGGCTCGTGGGCTTAGCGGGCCTAACGGGCTTTTTTTTTTAATTTTTTTTATTTAGGGCAATTTCTTGTAAACCATATGTGTATGTATATATATAAATTGCTCTTATGCATGGCTATATAAATATATGTGGTATATATAATATAGAAATCTAATTATTAAAGTGTTTGACGAAAATGTAAAATAACAAATCAATAGTAAAACTAAATTGGCATGCATAATAAATTAATAACAAAGTACAACATGAAGCATAAATACGTCTAATAATTTTAAAATAACACAAATTGTTGAAAAATCTTAAAGACGAATTTGCGGATAAATACCCTCAACACAATACTTTATATGCCTCCTTAAAATGCCTGTGGTACACCCTGAACGAAAATTTAAGACTCTTCCACAGTTCTTGCACTTTAATATTTGGCCTTCTTCATTTTCTTCAAGCACTTCATAGTATTGCGACACAAATAAGCGCACTCTTTCCGAACGAGGCATGATTTAACTTGAAAATTGAGATTGAGACTTGAAGTCTTGAAAATTGGAGATTGAGAGATTGAGAGAAATTTAGATTGAGAAATGAGTATTGAGTATTGAAATGAAGAAGAGGGAGGGGGGTACTTATAATGTTAGAGAAGGTTAGTTTTGTAAATTTAAAAAAAAACGGTATTTGTGCAATTAATATGACCGTTGGTGGTCATTGGGGGTGGGGCCCTCATTTTGAAAAATCTTGTTTTGTAGTATATATAGTACTACTTCTTCATGTAAATATAATATATATAGTATACTAGTATAGTGTAGTATATATTGTATGTTATGTATATATATTCCCTTATATATTTTCTTGTAGTATATATTGTATGTTATGTATATATATTCCCTTATATATTTTCTTGTAGTATATATTGTATGTTATGTATATATATTCCCTTATGTATTTTCTTGTAGTATATATTGTATGTTATGTATATATATTCCATTATATAATTTGTTGTAGTATATATTGTATGTTATGTATATATATTATAGCTTATAAATAATTGCAAGTTAAAGACAAAAAAATATTGATTCAAGGCCAAGGGTATGTTTTATAATTTTTATTACCAAAAATGGCATATCTTTCTTAGTCTTCTTCCCCCCAATGGAATGAGCACAACAAGGTACTAATACCACTATTAAAAGGAAAAAAAACTAAAGAAGATATGCCAAAGTACAAGTTACACCATAATCTACATTGTATCTCTAACAAATCTCATAAATCCTTCAAGGTTCGGAGGAGGTTCCGTTGGTGGTGGCGGAAAAGAAGCTTGTTCATCACCGCTTCCGGGCGAAGCAGCATCCTCCGCAAGTTCCGCTATCATTTCTTCATAAGCTTCGTCTATGGTAAGCACATAACAGTAACCATCTTTGCTAATTCTTCACGATCTTTATTAGGATCGTAATATAAAATACCACCGGTCACAGTGTTAATTCCTGGTTGAACTAGATTTGAACCTGTACTAGGGTTAACCGCAGTATCTACACTTGTCCCCTCTTGCTGCGCTTTCATTTGTAAATATTTAACTTTATCTCTAGGGTGTGTTTGTATGTGCCTAGCCAAACTACCCGTACCGCTACGGTCTCCAGTATATTTATGCGCCAGCAATTTTCCACAAGTTTTACACCTAGCCTTATTTTGTTCTCTTACTTGAGTAAAAAAATTCCAAACTAATGATGTTTCTAGGCGTTTAGAAGGTTGTCTATTAAAAATAGGGGTTTCTACAGGTGGGTCGGGCGGGGCATCAGTTGGGTTATTAACAGGACTAGTAGGTGAATCATCTAAATCCGGTTGGGTTTCATCTACATCCTCATTTTCCTCATCATTTTCTAAGATAGTTTGATTAGGATAAAGAGCATTCATAACTTCTTCATTTAATTGTTCACCTTGTGCAACATTATGGCAAAATTCACTATCGGAAAATTGAAAACAAGGGTTATCACTATCAAGAATAATAGGAGCAGCAGGACGGGTAATAGGTCTGGGTCGGGGAGCCGGGGGAAGGGTAGTAGGTTGGAGACTACTTTCACCAATTTTTGCTTTTCCCTTACCACCAAACATTTTTTTCAAAGAAAATGCCATATTAATTACAATTATGCAAACTAAACACACAAAAATATATTCTTAAAAGTTAAGAGTTGGAACGAGTTTACCGAATTGCCGAACAACTTCTTGAAAATTGAAAATCGTTGAAGACTTGAAGACTTGAATACTTCAATTCACCAACTTCACAATTTTTCACGAAATTGCAATAATAAAATAAGCAATTATAGAAGAGAAATTAGATATAGATTGAGAGAGATTGAGATAGATTGAGATAGATTGATGAATTGGTGAGTAAAAAATGAAAGAATGAGGGGGTATTTATAGTTGAGAATTGGAAAAAAGTGTAATTATATAAAGTTTTGAAGGTTAAAAAGTAAAGTTTTAGGGGGGGCCTAAAAGTGGGTACTAGTTTTTTTTTAAAAAGAACCGTAAAAAACGGGTTTTGGAAAAAAATTTAAAAACGGGTAAACAAAAAAGAGAGAGATACGATCCCCACCCTCCCCGCCCAGTATGGTTCCGGCTATGATGTGCAAAATTCCAAAGTACGTGGTGGCTCAAAGGAAACAAAGACTACATGTTAACATGATTGTCTTCTTCGTTACCGTGTTAACTGACTGCTGTTTGGGCATGATGTCATGCCCAACGTCTCAATTCTTGTTTTACGTTATACTAGTCTTAGGGTATTAGCGCGTTGCGCGTGTGTACCCATATTACGACTCACACACAATTTTATAAAAATCACATAAATATTATTAAATATCTTGATATAGTAAATTAACTAAAGGCAAAGTTAATCTTCAA